GATGAGGATCCCATGATTATTTTATCCATGGAAGGAAAAGATACAGTTTTTATGATGGGGTTTAAGAAAATTTATAGGGTTAATCTCAAATTTAGAGATTAAGTAGAACTTAAAATATGTAGAAATATATACTACTACTACTGCAACTACTGCTGCTGCTGCTGCTACTTCTACTATTTACTACTACTAATAATAATAAGGAATAAAAAATAAAATAGTGTGGCCTGACTTCCTTAGGTCAAATGAGTGAGCCATAAAAGGAAAGGAGTTTCTGAATAGGATTGTGAGACCGAGGTTCAAACCTCCACTGTGCCATGGAAGCCTGCTGGGTAACCTTCAACAGATCCCTCATTTTCAGCCTAACTTTACTCAAACAGTTGTTGGGTGAATAAAATGGGGAAAGGAGAACCATGTGGACTGCCCAGAGCTCACAGCAGGAAGAGCAAGATGAAAACGCATTAGACAGATAGTAGCCATGATATCTAAATGGAACATTCAAGTCCAGAAGCAGATTGCCCCTGAACAGCACTGGCTGGTGAGCAAACTCTGGGGAAAGACTGTTGCCATCATGTCCTGCTTTGTGCACATCTAGTTTGCCATTATTAGGAGCACGATGTTGTACTGGATGGACCACTGCTTCTGAAATCAAAATCCTAACAGATGAATAGTACGAGACGTATCAAATTTCAAAGCATAGATTTAAACCACTCTGGAAACATAGAAAGATGTAAAGATAGACATCTTTAAATTTAATGGGTTTAAATTAAGGGCAGGAACATACTGGCTGGATTTTAGGGAAACCTTTTTTTACAGTAAGAGTTGGCAACAGTGGAAACAGCTGCCTAGGGAGGTGGTGAGCCTCCCCCTCACTGGCCGTCTTCAAGCAGCGGCTGGACAGACACTTGTCAAGGATGCTCTAGTCTGATTCTGCATCGAGCAGGGGGTTGGACTAGATGGCCTGTATGGCCCCTTCCCACTCTACAATTCTATGATTCTATGACATATACAGTTGGGCAAGATCAGGGAGAGCCTTGGGCATGAGATAATTTGGGAAATGGAATACCAGGTATCCAACCTCACAGTTCTACTAAATGAAACCCAAGCTATGGGCATTACCATTTTGGATCACCTTGAACGGCAGATAGATTTTCAGATCCCGACAGCAGGGACAGTAATACCAAGATTGTGGGCATTCTCTGTACGTGTATTGCTGTTTTGGATATCCATTCAATAGCTTTCCCAGGAGATTGTATTGTAGATAGGAGGGTAACCACTTTGGTGGAATTCATAGTGTGCTATAACGGTAGTAGAGCCACAAATAACACCCACCAAGGGGAGACGATCAACAATTCACAACTATGTATACTCCGAACTGTATATTACATTCCTTAAAGTACAAAGATAGGTCAGTGGCCATAACCCAATGGAATGTATAAGCACATATCCAACAGATTGCTCATAACAATTAAGCATTATTTACAAAACGAATGTGTTCAAAACCAACAGTAGGTTCCTCTGTAATTCCACACATAAATAGTGTCCATAGACCTCCAAACAGAACTGTGGCAGATGATGCCCACTGCGGAAAGAATAACAGCCGTACGTCTCTCCCAGGTATAAATCAAGTCATTTCAATTATCTTCAACTGCAGCTACTAAAACAGAAGCCAATTTCCAAAATAACATAGGCGCAGCTCAATAACTTCAATGGAATCCTAGAATCACAAGCTCAGGTAGATGCCAAGATGGAATCAAGATCATAAGCTTAGGTAGATGACATTTATATGTAAGGCATATGAGACTGGTGTGGTGTAAGAGTCAGAGCTGGAGTAGAACCTTGGATTACTGGGTTAAAATCCGTTGCTCAACCATGGAAGCCTTGGGCCTCTCACAGCCTCTCTGCCAGGTGACCTTGGTCTCTCACAGTCTCTCAGCCTAACCTACCCTCACAAAGCAAACACCTATTTTAAACAATTCCTTGATCAATTCCCAAACCATTGGCGATATGTAGAAGTGCTTTAAGATACAATCTTTCCATATGTGCATGTGTGTTTGTGTGCACTTGGAAGTCATGGTGACCTCTGGTGACTGACCCCTACTGGAGGCCTTGAGGATATTCAGAGAGCTGGCTGGCTAAAGCCTGCCCCTGCCCCCCAACTGTTGGTATTCCAAGAAGGTCTCCCATCCAAGTATTTCCCGGAGTTGACTCTGCTTAGCTCCCGAGATCCGACGAGATCTTAATGAAAATTTGAAAGAACATAAGCAAACGCTAAGCATTTCTATACGTTTTATCTGTGTTTATTATTGAATAAAGAGATGACATCATGAAACTGCCTTATACTAAATCAGATCTTTCATCCATCAAAGTCAGTATCATCTACTCATACTGGCAGCAGCTCTCCAGGGTCTCAGGCTGAGATCTTTCACATCACCTGCTACCAGATCTTTTAACTGGAAATGGCAGGGATTAAACCTGGAACCTTCTGCATGCCAAGCAGATGCTCTTCCACTGAGCCACAGGTGAAGGCCAAGTAGTTGAAGTCAGAAAAGTAACAATTGCCTCTCTTCTGTTTACACTCACTTATCTAGAATGCAGGTGGCATGTCTAAGGCTTGAAATCAAACGAATGGCTCTTGAAAAAAGGAAAATACAGTAATTTCATTCACTACACTGTGTTATTGTTCAGAAAAAATTAAAGACTATTTTCTAAGATGCTACACTGCCACATAAAAAAATGCCAGTATACATGCTGTGGGGGGCTGTGGCTCAGTGGTAGAGCACCTGCTTGGCATGCAGAAGGTCCCAGGCTCAATTACCAGCAGCTCCAGTTAAAAAAGGACAAGGTGGTAGGTGATGTGAAAGACCTTGGCCTGAGAACCTGGAGAACAGCTGGCAATTTGAGTAGACAATACTAACCCTGATGGACTAATGGTGTTCACATGCTAAGTTGTTTGTGGCCTATGGGGACCCTGCAGACCTGACAGGAACCCTAGTCTGAGGCCACATTTATAGTGATATTGTCATTTAGTGTTCAGTTACCTTGGATAATACTATGGGCAGCTAGTAGACAATATACAGAATAAAGCTGCAAACATTTTTCTGGGCTGGTAAGCAAATAACCTAATGCAAGATCCCTATGAATGACCATTAACCTTTTTAGTACCTGGCTTCACTTTGGTTTCTCTTGGGTATCCCCACCTATCTGTGAGGTCTGCTCACCAGTTTTACGTTTGTTTGTTTTGCCATCAAGTTGCAGCTGATTTATGGCAACCCCGTAGGGTTTTCAAGGCAAGAGATATTCAGAGGTGGTTTTCTATTGCCTATTTCTGCAAAGCAACCTGGGTATTCCATGGTGGTCTCCCATCCAAATACTAACCAAGGCAAACCCTGCTTAGCTTCTGAGATTTGAAGAGTTTGGGCTAGCCTGAGCTATCCAGGCTGTTATATGCCTATTACACCTTGCTATACACAGGTGTTTGTAGGCCCCATAATGAAATATTCATGAACACATATCCACTACTACTAAGTGATTCTGGTTTAAAGGATATTATGAACTGCTGTATCCCACACCTATGTTGGTAATTTATGATATATATATAATTTTATTTATAATTTAAGGGTATAGAAACAAAATGAGGGAAAGGAGTAACAAAAAGTCATTAAGCATTATTCATCAAACGTTTTTATGTTTTCCATTTACTGAGGATATGATTCTAATATATAGAATAAGTGTAATAGGTACATAGATCAGGTGTAGAATATCATCTCAACTCACACACATTTCTCAAAATATCAACATACTTCTTTTTTAGAAGCACACCAATTTTTAAACAATTTAAGCAATTTAATCTAGACAACTTAATATGGCAATTTTAAGTAGCATTTATATCTATTTCTAGAATTAAAACATTCTAAATGTTGCTTAATTAATAGCATTTTAAGTTTTTAAAATAAATCATATTACATATACTGAGTATCAAAAAGGAATAATATACATTAATAATGACTATGATATAACTATTTCTCCTTGACTTTCAGGAGGCGCCAGCTTTTTATCTCAGGTATTAGAAACTTATCAGTTACAAGCCATAACCATAATATGAATAATATGCTTTCCATTTCTGCTGAAATTCTTTAATCGGTCTTTTATTTACTTGATTCGTTAATTTTGCCGTTACAGCATATTCAGCTAGTTTATCAGACCAGGCTTCTTTTGTTGGAAAATTCTCTGTTTTCCAAATAGATGACAACTGTGTTCTAGCTGAAGTTAACATATATCTGAGTAGATCCTGTGATGTCTTTTCCACGTTATCTGGAATAATTCCCAGTAGCATTGTCTCAGGATTGAGTGGGAATTTAATTTAAAACATTTTTTGGATCACTGCATGAATTTCAATCCAATATTTCTTCTCTTTTTATGCACAACCACTAAATATGATAAAACGTGCCTTCTACTTCCTTACATTTCCAGCAAGTTTCCTTGTAATTCTTGTTGGTCATTTCTGTAGTGCTGATTGCAAATTTATATTTATTTCCAATTTTCGTTTTCCTAAAGTTCAATGTTTATTTTAGATGTTTAGGCTCCGATTCTATCCCTAATAGGGACCGAAAGCAACTTACGACATCCTGCATTTTATCCTCACAATGACCCTGTTGCCACTGGACTCTAATTTTGTTCTGTTGCTTCAGATCAACACAACTGCCCACCTTGAACAACCCCGTGAGTTCGACTGAGACAGTCCGACTGGCTCAAGGTCACCCAGCAAGCTTCCAGGGCACGACCATTTGAGATTTCAACCTGGGTCTCCTGGATCCTCATCTGACTCTCTATTCTCTAACTGCTGCACCACACTGGATTTGAGTTTAGGAAGAAAACGAGGAGGATTGGACCTAAAGTTATGTAACCAACCCACCACAAATAATTAGGAGGAGATTATTTTAAATGTGTATCTAATAAAACTTTTGTCCAGCTTTGCTTTTTTTTGTAAATAATTGCACACCATGGGAAGAAGTAACTCCACAGACCCGGTGAGGAATAACGAGACTGAGCCAGAGATCTTCCTCCTGACGGGTCTCTCCAGCCAGCCCCATACTCGTGTGGTGCTCTTTGTTGTGTTTTTTATCCTCTACTTGATCACCATCTTGGGGAATGGACTCATTGTCCTATTGATCATAGCTGATTCTCACCTCCACACTCCCATGTATTTCTTCCTTGGAAATCTCTCCCTTCTTGACATTTGCTATTCTTCCAGCACGATCCCACAGATGCTGGTCCACAACCTCACAAAAAGACCCACAATCACCAATGCCAGGTGTTTCATCCAGATGTGCATCTCCCTCTTCCTTGGTGTGGCAGAATGCATTTTGCTGGCCATCATGGCATACGACCGCTATGTGGCTATATGCAGCCCACTCCACTACACGCTCATCATGAACCGAAAGAAGTGTGGCTGGTTGGCTAGTTCCTCTTGGGCCTTGGCTTTCCTCCTGACCATCGTACCATCCTTCACAATGAAGATCCAACTGTGTGGACACAACGTCATTGATCATTTTGCATGTGAGGTGCAGGCTGTTGTGAAACTGGCATGCTCAGACATCACAGCAAATGTTGACCTCATGTCAGGCAGCAGTGTGTTTACCCTCCTTGTACCATTTGCCTTCATCCTGGTGACCTATGTACGCATTTCTCTGGCAGTGTTGAGGATCCGTTCAACACATGGTTGGAGGAAGGCTTTCTCAACCTGTGGCTCCCACCTTACAGTGGTTGGGATCTTCTATGGCACAGCTATGGCTATGTACTTGAGACCACAAAACAGATCCTCAGAGCAGGACAAGTTTGTTGCCATCGTCTATGCAGTGGTCACCCCCATGCTCAATCCTATCATCTACAGCTTGAGGAACAAGGATGTGAAGGAAGCTTTGTGGAGACTAATGGGCAAAAACATGGGTCCTAAAGGCTAGTAGACGCATGCCTACTGTTTTGAATGTTCCTCTTGGGTACCTGAACGCCATTCTTTAATGCGATCACAGTTTAATACTGTTTAATACTGTTGCGTAATAATTATGGAGTCCTTTAGCTATGGAAGCAGCCTGAATAGACCAGGCTAGCCCAAGTTCACCGGAGCTTGGAAGCTAAGCATGGTTGGCCCTGGTCAGTACTTGGATGGGAGACCACCAGGGAAGGCCAGGGTTGCTATGCAGAAGAAGGCAATGGCAAACCACCTCCACTTGTCTCTTGCCTTGAAAACTCCATGAGGGACCACTATAAGTCAGTTGCAACTGGATGGCACATGTGGCACATTATTATTATCATCATCATCATCATTATTAGCTATCGAAAAACTAATAACATTTATTGTGGCATGAACGTTCACTTAAGCTGATATAGCAAGCATTTCCTCTCTCCAGGCAACTTTAGTTTGCTTTCAGAGAACCAATAGCATTTAAGCTGGTGTAGGACTGACATTATTTTGCTTATTAGATATTAAAATCATGTATACAAATGGCATGTATCTTACCATTCCACTGAGCAAACTTTGAAGTTTTCCTCCAGGTTAAGGAGACTCCCTCCAAATGGAAGAGCAACTCATGATGGAGGAAATTCTCCTCTAGCTAGAGGAACTTTCTCTGACCTAAGGTAGGGTACATGCCACCAGTGTTTCTGGATACTCAAGGCACTTTACACTAATTATATACACGCCAGATAAAAATCAAACAACCATAGAACAGCCCAAGACAAACCAGAAAGTTGTACTTCAAGGAAGCCTATGATCCTCCTCAGAGATCAAATAACTTTCACTGACTGTAATATATAAACATGGGTTTTTTTACAAAATAACGTAATATTTATTTTTCTAGCTTTGCATTTGGTTTGTAATAGATAACTTCAAATAAATCTGCTTCATTGTTATACCCCCAGAATCAGATCTGTCAATGATTTCAGCTGAGTAGTCTACTCTATCTGCCACTGAGTAGTCTACTCTATCTGCCACTAGGCACCACCACCACCAGGAAATAACAAAAGAATGTAACCTCTTACAAATCCCTCTTTACTCCTGACTGACCCATATCAAGGTGTACAGAGCCTAAGGAATATCCTGAGAGCTCTCTGTCATCTACCTCAGAAGTTTTAGTTTGTGAGGAGAAGTTTCTCCTCACAAACTAAAATCTCTGGAGCCAGTTCATTCTACTCCCATATGCATCTTAAAGACAAAAGGACAAAATACATTGTTGGCTGGTGGAACAAGGTTGCATTGCCTTATAAGAGAAGAGAAGCTTAATGCCCTGTTACTGAAAAGCAACCATTCCAAACACATTTTAGAGCCTCTACACAGAATACCATTGTCTTGAGGAAACACTAGGTTTTCATCTGACATTTGTTTCTTGAGAAATTTCTCCATATTTAAAGACAAATTCTTCTTTTTCTTCTAATAAATTTTCCTTGCATTGAGAGAAATTTCCATCAATCTATGATCTAAGTGTGAAAATTGGCCCTGATTATGAAGGAGGAAGAATGAGATGATTGATTCCATTAACATACTCCTCCTTCACCTCCACACATGAAAAAGTGACATAAATATATTAGATTGAAGGTTTATTAACTGCTGAAAAGATGTTTATCACTAAGAATGGCTTCATACTAAGAATCTTTCAATTAAGATACAGATAAAGAAGGTGTTGCAAACTGTAAAAATGAATAAATTGAATGAGAGTGGCCATCTGACAGAAAATTTAAACCAATGTTTCCTAATCTTTGGAAGACTTTTACAAATTACAGTATGTACTACAACACAAGACTGAGGTTTTTAATATAGGTATGTGTGGGCGAGATTAGCGAATTAGGCACACCTGTCCTAGTCTTCAGCCTATATCCCAGACTCTGTAAATATCTGGATATTGATCAGTAACTCTGATCAATAAGACATAGCTCTAAGTCCGATGACCTCTGACCATCCATAGTGCCTGTGGAGCTAGCTTGTTAATCATTATACCAATGCAAGCACCTTTAAGACAAATCCCCCGAAAGTTATTGTTCTCCTCTGGTTTTCTGAATGTGAACTCTGAACCCCAGCTATGTGAACTCTCAACCCCAGCACACGGATGGAGGGGAGGGGGGAAGCAGAATGGGCATAAAATAAACTGCTGCTGCCTTGAGAGGCAGACTGATTTCTCTACCCTCAAGAGAGTTGTCTCGCGTGATTCTTCAGGTATGCCATCAAAAAAAAAGGGGGTCATATTCCGTTTGCATACTTTGTGTGTGCACGTATAACATATTTAAAGGCTTCATCTAACATTCAGTGGCATCTTCCTTTTGAGTAAGTCTCCTCTTCCAGATTGGTACTTATAACTGTTTTTCCTTATTTTAAAACTGAACATTTGGGTCATATTTTATGGAAATTGCATTTGTGTAAGAAAATATCCCGGTTTGAAAACAAGATATAATTTTTTAAAATGACATACAATTGGGTCCATATGCTTTATTTCTGTTTGCTTGGTTTTTTCTAATACTTGGTTTTCCCTGATTGCTTTCACAAGGATCTATAACATGGAGCATATTTTTATTTATTTTTAACCCAAATTTTTTTTTACAAAAAATTAAGTGTCTTGTGAGATTTTCGCAATACCCTTGATGAAGTTCCTGTGATATTTATCTGATTAAACTTCAGGCAATTGTTTAAAGAAACTGAATTAGCTGAGATTGTACAAAGATTTCAACAGGACGTACCATGGGCTACCTTTCTTCTTGTAATGTATCCAGCTAAGACTGCGTGGCAGGTCAAGCGCAAACATCGAGCTTTGCTCAAAGAGACAATGAGCTAAGCGGATCCTAACCCACACCTATCGGAGAGCTAGGTTCCCGGCTGAGAGCCTATGGAACTCTCGGCTACTGTAAATAATCTACTGTGGTGTGGGGGGGTGTTCTGGGTGGTGGTTTCACGGGAAATATAAGCCGGCCTGCGAGCCGGCTAAAGTTGTCTTGTTCTTCACTAATAAAAGTACATTAGCTGAAATCACTCATCTGTCTGCGTACTTTTCACTTCTGTAATTGTACACACATGTAACCTGCTCTAAAATTTATGTGGGCTTCAGCCGATCCTTGGAACTCTGTGCTAACAGGATCTACTGTTATCAGGATCTGCCCCTTTTGCTTCGGTAACTGCCCCTTCGCTTCAGTATCTGCCCCACTAACTGGATCTGCCCCTTTCACTTCAAGCTCAGGGATAGCTCTCTGCACACAGCCTTGTTGCCTTTTAGATACTGAGAATCCTAATAAACTCTTAGTTTTTAAATCTCTTGTGCAGGACTTTTTTCCCCCCCTTGTTTTTTTGAAAAAGAGATGTTGGAACTCTCAAGAGGGAAATGAAGTTTTCAATCTGTATACTGAAAACTCATGAACTTTTAAAAATTTCAAAAATAATTTTGTCAAAGAGGTTCTGGAACTCCGCTCCGCTGTGTTCCCCCAGAAAAAAAGCCCTGTATCTTGTGCAAGAAAGATGTCCTGTTGCCTTTTAATTGCTAGTTGTTTTACAGTGAAGACTTAAGCAGAGTTACACCTTTTTCTGTCCTCTGAAGTAATTGGACTTAGATAGGTGTAACTCTGATTAGGATTGCACTGTTAGAATCCTAATGAATAAACTTTTTTGGTAGCACCTTAGAGACCAACATAATTTTCTGGGTATAAGCTTTTGAGAGTCAGAGCTCCCTTCAATGCTTTTTTTTTATTTGAATGAATCAGGCATCAAGCTGTGCCACAGTGGCTGCACAGCAACTATTAAAGGCATTCCCTCCTCCTCTGGAGCCATGAGTATCTTATGTCCCTGCATTCTTTGACTGAAATTCGGTGAGCGTTCCTAGAGTACCTTGCAATGTATTTTGTTCCTCAGTCCTTTTCAGAAGATCGATTTTGGTGCTCCAGCCATGCATAATAGGACTGTGCACGACACTTGATCTTCCCAGTTTGCGTGGTCACTGATCTGAGAATGATGTATTTTTAATGTACATACAGCTTTGGTAACTTCAAAAAACTGGGGTTTTGTTTACATATATATACCAAAGCTCAATATACATGGAAAATATGTGTGTTGTCCCAGCCATACAAAATGGCAACTTCCCGGTTGGCAGGAGCTGGAACTAGAGATGGGAGCTCACTCCATCATGCGGCAACTTGGGTCTCGAACTGCTGAACTACTGACCTTCCACAGCCTGCAGTTCAGCGTCTTAACCACTTGAGCCACTGCAGTTCCTAGCACCTTAGAGACCAACATAATTTTCTGGGTATAAGCTTTTGAGAGTCAGAGCTCCCTTCAACAGATATGGTATCTGACTAAGCTAGGGTTACCAGGTCTGGGCTGGAAAATACTTGGAGACTTTGGGGGTGGGTCTGGGAGAGGGAAGGGTTTGGGGAGAGGAGGGGAGGGGCCTCAGCACAGTACAATGCCATAGAGTTCACCCTTTAGATCTGCCATTCTCTCCAGGGGATATAGCAAACAAACAAACATTGTGATAAAAATGACAATGACATTTAATAAACCTTATGAACATCAAATTATATTACAAATGAAACTTTTATGTTATTACTAAGGAAATTCTAACATTCTCAAGGAAAAGTCCATCATCCTCAATGAGCACCCGCTTATAAACTTATTTCACCACTCTTTCTCAGAAGATGATAGATTTTTCTATATTCTGCAAAATGTACTGTCCAATAAATATACAGCACAACAGTGTCTCTATACTGTATAAAGGTAAATGTTTCCCTTGCTTGAAAGCCAGTCGAATCCGATACTAGGGAATGGTACTCATCTCCGTTTCCAAGCCAAAGAACCAGTGCTGTCCAAAGATGTTTCCGTGATCATGTGGCCGGCATGACTAAATGTCGAGCTGCACAGAATGCTGTTACCTTCCCACCAAAGTGGTACCCATTTATCTACTTGCAATTTCTTGCTGGGGCCAGAGATGGG